AATAGGGCCTCTCATTGTATTTTTAAAATGTGGCATTTGGGGAAATATTTCCACAGAAGATTAGTGTTGAATATCTGTATGACTATTTCATTTCATTCCACTAAGGCATACACTGAGTTCATCTTTCAGTTGAATTTCTTTACATTTCCTACTCTTGAATTTCTGAAATTATAAGGCTCCAAATTTCAAAAATTCTACAGGAATTTGGAGATGATAGAATGACTCAACACCTAAAAGGTCTTCAGATCAACGATATTATGTTGACATTTAAAATCAGTATTATAAAAGTACTGAATGCCCTAGGAACAAGTTTCATTTAATTTCTTAGCTAATAAAATACCGATAGCTTGACTCATATTCAAAGTGAACTGACAACTTGTCTTTGGGGTACCCACATAGATCTGCAAGAGGGTCTAAGACTATATAATGAAAGATTACCATGTGATTCACCTTGGAGATATCAGTATATTCAAAACTGTTGTGAACTCAGATGCTCCTAAGAATTTCATTTGCATAAAGACATTCACTAAGTACCTATATATGCTCTGTATAGAGTAGGGAACAGTAAGAGAATAGGCTTCTCCCTGTAGAGCTTATTTTCATTACTGAGTATTAACTAAATCCTGACATTATTAAGTAAGCTTTTTATTTATAGTCTTTATTTCTTGGAAGACTATTTTCTCTATCCAAAGAATATGAAAAGTCTGTTTTCCCAAGGTTTTAAGGAATGGCTCAGATTCCTGGAGAAAATATGTTTGGTCAAATCATCAGGTAGCTAGCTCTAGCTTCCTGTAGTTTGTGTGTTTAGCCTGATCTCCTCATGATTAAGGAAATTAATAAAGGATTTCTTCAAAATCAGTTGCCTCTTTAAAAGAATTGAATTATCTAATTTTACAGCCGTTCACAATATACATGCCCAATACTCACCCACACTCACACGCCCATGCTACCAAACCTGAAGGAGAAGCTGGGTTCTGCTAGTCCAGAAATAAATTAGCTTGCAGCTAACGTCAGAGGATCCAGAAACACTCACTGCAAGTGTGAACACATATCTGATTGCAGGACTGTGTCTTTCCTAGGGCTGACCTTATAAATTAAACAGTGTAAATCTCAAGTAAGTGTTTTCTGAACATTCTGATTCACTGTGAACATTAGGATGGCCTTTAAATTAACATCTAACAATGTTAGCCTACTGTTGGACGTGCCCTGGTTCATTCCTGATGACAGAGAGGACACACACACTGCCACCAACACACAACTTCCAAAAAGAATGGATGGTGGTGATTAACGTCTTTGGATGTATAAGCTCCATCTACAATATCAAACCTACATATGGAATAACACATAAATGGTGAATAAAAGCTGAATATGGTGGCTGACACATGTAGTCCCAACATGTGGGAGGCTAGGGCAAGACCACTGCCAGGAGTTAGAGGCCAACACGGCCTATATAGTGAATTCTAGTTCAGCTTGGACTAAAGAATGGCCTTGTCTAAAAAAATTATTTTTTAATTTTTAAAAAGATAAAATTAAACAGCGCCTTTTTACTTTGTTGCTCAAAGGCCTAATAACACTATAGCTGCAAAAAACACTCAGACCTGCACATTATAATTTCAAGCCTTTACTAAATGATTCCCAGCTATAACCAAGTCTCAGTTGAAATACTCCTTCCTCAGGGAAGTGCTTCCTCACCCCCCTTTATTAAACTGTGTGGTTTCTATGTTTACTTCAAACACACTGCTCTTTCATTCCCCTCTTAGGACACTCACCACTCAGGATGATCTGTGAAGTACCTTGTTTTCTTTATTAAATTCTAAGTTCCGTGTGGGCACTGAGTACACCTAGCTTATTTAGCCTTGTATACACAACGCTTGATATAATGCACATTTCTGAAATTAATTAAGGAATGAACAAATAAATTGAACAAGTATATATAACCTAAATTCATCTCTAGAATATATGAAAGATAAGCTGGATAAACTAAGGCCTATAAAAAGAATAAAGTCAAAGTAAAAGGAAAATGTGAATGTTCCCTGACTCCATTTTTGAGTCTGAAAGAACATTTTTTATCTGCCTACAGGGCGTAAGTACACAACCAAAACTTGTATAGTATAGAAAGCTCACCTTTAGGTTCTTTTTCCTATGTCCATTGAGAATGCTGCCCAACTGTGAAATGGGAAGAATGTCCATTCTCATTTAAAGAGAAAAATGAGCAACATCTTCCCAAACTGATTGTCTCCAGACAATAAAATGCATTGTAATAGCATCTTTAATTTGGGAGCCATTGCCTCAGTGAATATGGGATGCAGAGTCACATTGGCCATGGCATGTAAATGGATTATACTAAATTAGTAAATGTATTATTAGCTTCACTTGGAATGTTAAAATGCACTCAGCAAAGGGGTTAAAACAGTTATGAAACATGAGGGCATGCAATCAAATTAAAATCTAAATTATCACAGCTATGAAGATATCCTCTGCAGTTCTACAGGTGATTATGTCATTGTCCTGTAAATGCGCAAGGCATCAGATACAACCCCATCAGTTCCTGCATCACCCTCTGGGCTCTGTGATTCTCCTGATATTCTGGCTTCTAGATGGCTTACCTGTAGTGTCTGGAAATCTCTTCTTCCACCTGGGTAATAAAATCACATTTGGTGCACGAGTGATCTTTGCTTTCCTTGACAGCCTGCTGGCCCTCGGATCCTAGCAGATGATTTGCTTCTTGTTTGACATCGGATCCTTGGGACTCATGCACGGTCTCATAGTGAAAGAGGAGCACATCTACATCGGGGGTGGAGAAGGAACACTGGTGGCACTGGTGTTTGACTCTTGAGCTTCCAGCTGCCCCAGGAGACAAGTGCAACAGCAGGAGTGCACAATGGGAACAATTACTCTTTCTACAAGCAAAAGGATAAGTAATTTCTCCAAGGTGCTTTTCTGGGCTACAAAGACCTCTGGGACAGAATGGACAGTGCTTAATGGTACACTTGTGGATGTTATGTTGCTGTTGATAATGACGGAGAAGTGGCCCCACTACAATCACATCAGGGCCATGGCTTTTGGAATAACGAAAGTCACAGAACTGACAGTTATAGCTTGTTACCATATTATCTTCTGCTCCCTTGCTGGGGAAGTCCTTCTTTTTAGACCCACTAGAGCCCTTTTCTGGCTTGGTCATTGGCTCCCCTTCTGCACTTTTGGCTAGATCATTCTGATTGATGACAGAGCCTCTGGGAAGCTTGTCATTCAACTCTGGATTAAGGCCTCCTGACTGCACTGCTCCATGCTGCTTGCCATAATGTTCCAGCAGCTTAAGTGGGCTGGACGACTCACAGCTGAAACTACAAAATTTACACCAGTAGTAACTGGTGGCCTCTGTACCATTTTGCCTTGAGGAATCAAGGGGTTTAATGGGCACTGAGTAGCCAACAGGCGTGTCATCTCCCGCCTTGACTGTTATCTTGTCCTGCCACTTTCCTAAGTCTCCAGAGTCACTGGCTCGAAGTGCAGGGATAGATTTGTTAGAGTTCTTCTCAGAAGGTTTGGCACCCTCAGAGGAGGGGAGAGAAGCTTTTATTTTGTTCGGGTGAGTCTGAAGAAAGTGTTGTTCTAGTTCAGTTGAGGAGTTTCCCATATAAGTGAAATTGCAGAATTTACAGCGGAAATACTTGGTGTTTCCTTGGCAATCTGGAGTTTTCCGTCCAATGCCGATGAAAGTTCCACCCGAAGTGACCTACAGCATAGAAGAGAAAGATGTTACTTTAAACGTGTTGTAAATTTGCTAGGTTCTCTGTGGGTGTGGGGTACTGCCAGGTATTCCCATCAAAAACAATACATTTTCTGCTTCTTAGGAAATCACTTGAAGTAAAGAGCCAAATAAACAAACAAACCAACATAAAAAAGTCCTCATTTTGCAACATGGACTATTTGGGGGCTTCATCTTCTGCCAAGGGATGAAAGTATGCAATATGAGCTCTGTAACCAATCCAAAGCACTGAATTGTGTATATCTCTATATAGAGAGATAGATACATATTTAAGAAAACAATTTCCACCTGAGCAGGCATCTCCACTACCTCCTTCAAATCACATTCCTTTAGAAAGATTCAAATCACATGGGGTTCCCTTTTGAAAACGTAAGAGTTGCTGTGAAGACCAGTGCCTCTGAGATGACATAATGCAGAGGTTCTCCAAGGAAATGTAAAGTTCAGTCCCTACAGCAGTGAGGTTGCAGACAAACAGGTCTAAGTTTTATATAATTAAAACACAGGCTCTAAAAAGACCATATATCTCCAATACTGTAGTGTCCACCAGTAACTAAGGGAGATAACCAGCTACTGTTCTAACTTGATGGATAAATTTGTTTTCACCCCCTATCTAGAAGCCTTTGAGAGGGAACTGACACTGATTCTAACCACACCAACAGCTATCGAAATACCTGAAAGCAAATCCTGAATCCATCAGTCTCGAGTCCAGCTTTCAAAGACAAAAGAAAAATAAGGAGAAGCCCTTGTCAAGAAAGTCCAATGGACTCTCATATGAACATTTGAAAACTGCTCTGTTCTGACTTTTTTCTAGTTCCCCTTCTAACACTGGTAATGCTACTTACTCTTGTCTTTACTTCTCCTTCACAGCTTCTGTTCATGACTCAAGGACTTTCTTTTCCCCTTAGAGATAAGAATTATGCAATTTGAGAGTCTTTTAGATAGACCCACTGAAGGAGTACTCCAACTGCTTCACCCTGAATCCCTGTTCAACATGGAAGAAGCCAGAGCGGTCTGTGTCCCTATTCCCTATTGACAATTTGGGTAACCTCTTCAGAGGATGGTGTGATTGGAATAGGAGGTAGGAATTGGCTAGGCAGTTAGGGTAAAAAGACCCCAAAGAAAAGTAACTAGTTTCTTGGCTAAAAGTCAAAATGTCCTTGGGCCTCTGAGCAACATAGTCTGTTCCAAAGGCCAAAGAAATCAAAAGTATTTGGGGGCTTATAGCTAGTCCTTAAAAGGTTTTAGGGTTACCTCTTCAGAGGAGGGAATGTTAGAGTAGCCAAAAGCCCCATAAAAATAAATAAATCAATCAAAGAAGAAGAAAAAGTACATGAAGTTAACAGAAAAAAGTGATGGGGCGATATGGGAGGGGTTGGAGGGGAGGGAGTGGGCATGGATTTATCAAAACACCTTATATGCATGTATGAAATTCTCAATAAATTATTTATTTTAAAAAACATCATATTGTGTAACACTAACCTTAAAATAAAATGAAAGAAAATGACCATATAGCAAGCATGGCTTCTGATAGAAACCTAATCATGTACAAAGAAACTGAAAATAAAATGGAGTGTAGCAAGGACACTGAGACCGTGTAAAGAATTTTAGTTTTTCTCAGTTACAGACAACTGAATGGAAGAAAACTTGTGAAGGCTTTATGTCCTTAAGGGTTATCCAATATCAGTCCCTATCTCCTCCCATGAGTAAGTCATGGACATGGTTAAATGTTAAAACAAGGCAATCCCCCCTTTAAAATCTCTACAGTTCTGCTTTCTTTCCAAAATTTGAAGTTAAATAGTAGTCTAGGCCTGGTGGCATACAATGGTCATCCCAGCACTCAGAAGACTGAGGACAGAGAGGTCAAGACCAACCTGAGTTACACATGTAAGATCAAGTATCAAAAGAGGAAAGGTAAAAAAGAAGGAAGAAGGGAGCGAGAGAGGGAGGGAGGGAGAGAGGGAGGGAGGGAGAAAGGGACAATCAGACATCAAAGGACACTATCTACAAGCATTCCTCTCTTCTCAGTCTGTACCTCAAAGACAGGTCAACGAAGGACCATAACCGAGCAACCAAAACTCGTGATTTAAAATTTAATTTTTGTCTCAAGTCCTCCAAAAAAAGAGATATTTTCCTCCCAAATATCAGTCCATTTTTTAATTTTTCCAGCAACCAGATGTAATATATAAAGCAAGTAGCAAAACTGTGTTCCACCTTCTTCAGCAGCTGCTCAAAAATGACATGTGTGATCACTGCTCATATCCAAATCACTCCATGAGAAAGTCTCAGGCTTCTCAAAATCACTTAAAGCCTCTGCTTAAAATGCAAATTATATTCTGTACTGCATTCAAGATTTCTGTATCTCTACTGCATAGGACTGAGATGGAAGTTTACATTTGCTTCTTAAAGAGAGGTAGGACCTTGATCAAGCTACTTAACCTCTCCGACCAACAGCTTCCTCAGTTGGGGTAACATTGCAGTTCCAGGAAATAAACATTATCACAAAAAACAACTTCATACTGACTTACATTTACATAATAGTTTATGAAGGTATCCACAGTCTTAACCAAAAGATAATAATGAGTTATTTCAGAATGTGTATATATTCCTTCCCAAGCATAAAATTTCAGTCAATGAAAGCACCCACCACAGAACCAAGAAAGTTAAAAATGGACCCTCCTGGCCAGCAATCCCTGAGTCAATAGTTTGAAAGTTAGCCAAAGTCAAACCCTTGAGAATTTTTACCTAGCATATGACTGAAACAGCTAAAAGTCATGAAAAATGATTAGGCTGCAAAACTTCTACATGGGCTTTCCAATTTACTAAAAGTGGGAAAAAACTTTATTTTCAATAAACAATAGAATTAAATTGGCTGCTGTTACCAAGCTCTTTGTTCTGTAATTTAAGCTTATATCAAATGGTAAATTCAGAAGTATCTACTGTTTTTTATAATTTAAGCAAATACAGCGTACAAAATCTAGACATGAAGATTTGTTTGTTTTAGCTCAGAGATCCTCAGCTTCCTTAATATAAAAAGCTTTGAACTTCTGCTTAAGCAAGTAAGATTCCTGAGAAACTACCACAGATCATTGTTATTTTCTGATTTTGCAATTTTTGAGTCCCATGTGCCATGACCACACTAAAAGAGGGAAACATTAGCACACATTCTGATGAAATCTCTACACATATGATTTTTAAGTAAGTTTGAACTATCTTGAGGCTTAACAGCAACCCTTTAGAGCTGTTTTAATTTAACCATACAAAAGATGAGTTTGTGAAAAAAATCAATAAAGCACTTTGTTCTAATATTAATTAAGCTATGAAGGGCTGCATCGAGTCTTTTGACATTGTCACAGTAACAATGTGTTTCAAAGCTGTATTTCTTTACGTAAGGAAGAAACTCTGATAACCTCACCATCTAGTATGCTTTAGTGACTACTAAATACTTGAAGTAAGGTACATTCCTATTATTGACAGTTATATCATATTCAATACAAACAGCTAATAAAACTCATGAACCTTATTAAACATAACAGCAATAGCTTTGATTTTTCTATAGATTACATATGTCTCCTTGGTTAATATTAGTAAATCATATTGGTATCATATGGTACCGAAAGCAAAAATAAACCAGGTATGGGAGAAAGAGGCAGGCAGATCTCTTTGAGTTCAAGGCCAGCCTGGTCTACATAGGAAGTTATAGTCCAGCCATTGCTACACAGTAAGACACTGTCTCAAAAAGGAAAGAAAAAAAAAAAGGAAATGTGACATTGGAATCAAACATTATAAAAGACAACTGAGGAGTAAAGCATAATTACTTAGTGTTCATTTCATTTTCTGTTTCTCTAAAAGAAGATATAAACACTGCATTTAATACATGTATGCATATTGCAATTAAATATAACTGATATACACCATTTGAGCACCTCATAAAACAAAACAGAATTTAGTAAGAGGTACTATCCATGCCTTCTGACCACATTTCATTTATTTTCATAACCTATAAGTCTTAGTTTTGATCCTTAATGGTTAAAAACAAATAACCTGAAAGAAAGAATAGTTACGCAAACTAACTGTTTACAGCAACAATTTATTAAAACTTATTGCCAGGAAAGAGTTCTTGCACATTGAATTACTAAAAAGTTTCCAAATGGTTGAATCCAGCAATGAGAAGGGAAAAAAATATTTTTTTCCTAGTTGTGACTACACTAAAAAGATCAAAAGCAGAATATAGTTTTCCATCTTTCTCCTTTGGCTAACCAGCACTTGAAATTATAACCCATTAACCCAGTAAGTATTTTAAATAAATATCACATTTAAAAAATTATATAGCTGTAAGTTCTTCTTGAAGCAAAAATTACATGTATTCATTTATCCACTCAGTAGTTACTGAGTATTTGGCTTGGGTCAGGCTCAGTGATAGACATTAGACTATAAAGTGAACAAAATAGACTATCTCTTTGCCTCAAGACATTTTAAGATGAAAAATTGTAGATAAAATTCTTTATTCAACTATAGTTACTTCTGCTTGCATTTATCTGCTCCTAGAGGAAGCTCTTCTCTGAATCAAATTCTATGAATAGACACATTATATATTCTCTTAGAACTTGTTTTGTCTCTCTAGGAATGTAAGTAATATTGTGTACTTTACCTTTTCATTGGATTATTACAAGGATCAAGTGAGAACTCTAAAACTGTGCTCTCCAATAGAATTTTCCAAGTTGATAAAAATATTCTATATTCTTTTCTATAATATAAGAATGGGCTGTTGGAGTAGGGACAGTGAAAACAAAGAACTGATACTTTAAATTTAACTTAATTTTTTCCTAATTTTTCATTACTTTAACTTTAATTAACTAAAATCTAAAGAACTACATATGCTGAGGAAACACCAGATTAGGCAGTCCACTGCAGTGTAACAGTCACAAGATAGAATATTAGTTAATAAAAGGAGTCATCCAAGTAAATTT